CCGAGCCAACCATATTAACTTTCTGCCTCTACTCTAAAGCAAGGCTCTGGATTATTAATATAGAATCATTTAATTAATTAAATGCTGAATTATTCGATCCTTTTTGTTTGGAAACCATTTTTTCTTCCCTTCCTCCTCTCCTAATTTTTCAACACATGTTTACAAAACGTTTTTGAATTGATTTGGTTTAGTTTTATATTGTTTTAAATAATATGTTGAGTTAATAAAGGTGGTAAAGGCATTTTCTCACATTTAACTTGTAGTTTGTACTAATGGTCCTGGGCAGTCCAGGACATTTAAGAAAATGAGCGGACATGTCTGCGTGACAAATTGTTATGCAGACATTTTTGGACAGTGTCCATTGGACATTGTTCAGGACATGTCCCATGTACAACACTGATCATAACTACCATCAGAATCATATTCATCATTATTGGTTAACTTATCATCACCAATGATGTCAGTATTGTCATCACTCTTGTTTTTTTTGCATATAACCTATGATGAAAATCTCTTTTAAACATAATATTGCAAGCACTATAAAATTATACTTCTCTTAGTAAATGACTTACTTCCTTGACAATTGAATTAAAATCCTGTTGTACATGTATATTTGTGTCATGAATTGACCAACAAACTTGAATCTATAAAGAATGAATCAGAAACTTAGGCAATTGTAAACATAATTCAAAGTGTATGTGATAACTGAACATACAGCCTTTCTTTCCTTTAGCCAGGTCTCCCAATCTTGTTGAATAGTATAATCCTATATAAAAATAGAGAACAGGCGTTAGAAAATACTATAGCTTAAAGTTAAAGCTAACAAAATAAAATGTCAGCACATTAAATATATACATCAATCTTCATTGTTCAGAGTTTTGAATCATTTCCACACTTTTTTAATGCCAAATAATAGGCTTTCTTCAGTTTATCAATTGCACAGGATTGGTGTGCTGGGTGAATCATGCGGAAAAAACCTAGAGGTGTTGGGTTGTGATAACTTAGCAACCACATTATATTATTTTGCTGTTGGAGCTTATGATCATTTTTCATCTTCATTAGTAGTATCTTGATCATAAGCAAAAAAGACAGAAATCATTGTTAGTAAAGCCTTAGACAAAATAGATCAATCAATCATCGAAACAGGTTGTTGATTACAAAAAGCCAGCTGCCTCTTGATGACAACTCGCCATTGCTGGCTTCCAACAGGCCTAACCCTGCCACAGATGCTTCTTTCATGGCTTCAGAATTAGGGTTTGTAAAGAGAGTGAATATTCAATAAACTTACACAATTGATTTCCAGCAAAAGATATTGGTATTTATTGATAATAATAAGGAACAAAGTACACAAAATGATACAAAAAGAATTTTTTCAAGAGTTGCTTGATAATGGTGGTAAGATCAGATCCAAATCTGATGAAATGTGTGTTCAAGAAGCTTGAGTACAGTGAATATAGATATTTTGTTATTGAATAGAAATATAGAAATTCTAAAAATAAACTATAAACATTTGAAATGTTACACTGATTTTTTATCTTATAATTTGGGAATGAGTGACACATGACTTGGAACTTTTATATAGAAACTGGATAAACTTTGGCTTTCTGGATGTTAGGCCATAATTTTTTACCTTTATTATTATAAGCCATTAATTTATTTAAATGTCTTAATAATGTGAATTTTTATTTTAACAATCAAATCTTTGGTGCACAAATGCTTTGTAATAAATAATCACAGACGGAGCCAATTGTAATTTCGGAACCAATCATATTATTAATTTAGAACAATTTATGGACAAAAATACCAAATGGATTGGTTTTTCCAATTTTGAAGATCATTAATATTAAAAAAATTTAATAATTAATAGATAGTATGCCACAAAGGTTTTAGAAAGTAGAGGAAGCCTGACAAGATATTAATTTTTTTTTTAATAAAATATAATCAATTTAAAGTAGTTTCATATATTTTTTGATGTCTTTTATGTTTCAAATTAGTGA